ATATACGGTCCCCGCTTAAGACTCTTAATTTCCAAGTGAAAAGAGTTCAGCAAGTGCCTCAAAACTATCCTACCGTGTGAGTGCCTCTAATTTTCACATATTTACACACACACACGACATCGTATCTTCGATGCATGACTCATTTATGTACGATGGAAGAACGTAGAGTCTGTGCCCCTACTCATATTCCACTGGTACACTTGACTACTGCCCATGAGTAAAATATTGGTGCAACTAAGACTAAAAACAAATAATGACAAAAAGCAAATGTGTACACAGAGAGGGTCCAGAAGAAGAGCAGGCCAGACATGTCGATGCACGCACCTTTCCCAAATAAAAGAACACAACGAAAATCAGAGAGCACATACCGAAAATGTCTTATCTAACCATAAAATCTATGGAAAAAAGGGGCGAAAATTACTCAAATAAAAATATAACAAAAAAAAAAAACAGAGAAGAAAATGAACCCACACTGCTGACATGTTTGTGCAAGAAGACTGGGACGGACAGTGGGATCTTCGGTGAGCAAACAAAAAAAAGAACAATCAAATAAATTAAACAAAGGCAGAGTCGGCGACGCGACGGACGGTCCAAGTGGACGATCCACGTCCAATCTTATCGGCATATCAGTTTTCCTGCATGGTGTATCGCTTTTTTGCGTCTGGTGTGTGTTCGAGAGCGTAGAGAACACCGGGGGGAATGGAGGACCAGTGCCCGAGTCCGTGAACAGTTATCCACCAGACGGTGAGACGATCGTCAAGACCCAGCTCCTCCCCGCGTCTCCTCTTTACCCAACCACTCGGCTCGTTCAACAACATTAAATGGGTCTCGTTATGGGTAGTAGCTATGCTGCGGGTATGATGAATCTAATCAAACGTTTGCCACGCGCACCAAGCAGCAGTGCAGTCCCCATGACTATAACCATCAGTATTGGCAGAGACGCTCCAGAATGGGTATAATGGGTATCACAATGATCGGTCTTCTAATCTCGCCGCGTTGGGCAGTGTTGTCCCCCACACTCCACATGCCGTGTCAGTGCAGCGGCGCTGGTGTTCTCTGTGTGTATGACTCATCGACGACGCGGCTGGGGCCTGGGAATCGCTGCCTCTGGTTTCGGCTTAAAGCTTCCGACAACGACGATCGTCCGTCTGCCTAAGCAGCTCTCAATGACAGGCGTTACAAAATGAGTGAGTGAGCGAGTGAGTGGCGGGGGGAGCGAACTCATCCCCGAGTGTGGTAGAGCGAGAGTTAATGACCCATGTGCTACGGATCACTTGGCAATTGTCTTTGTTTCTCTATCGAGAAATGGGAAATCAAATAAACGAAAACATTTCTGGACAAGATCGACCACCAGTAGAGCTCATAAAAAACGAACACAAATTAAACACCAAAGAGTGAGAAATGGGAGGGTGGCTGAGATTAAAGAGAACGCAGGGAGTGCAAAGCCGCAGTGCGATTATGGCGATTTCGGTTATGCAGTAACAACAAAAAAAGGGTTCGCATCCTGACTAACGTAGTGAAATGAAGTGGAACGTTGTGAGGCGTTTGCAAAAGGTCACTATTTTTATACCCAAAACTCAATTGGTATCTATGGTGAGCTTAAGATTGCTTAAGAAAATCTTCGTAAAACTTTTAAATAAAATAAACCTTAAATAAAAACCTACTAAGGTGAGATTTAATGGAATGTGGAATTAAAGCATTCAAAATAATAATTCTTTGTTATAAGTATGAAAATCAAATTCGTTTGCCAACAAAAACGGTAAATAAAATCCAATGAGTACGGTAAAAACCTGTTATCGCATTGATGATGTTACTCATTAGCATCTGCGAATGTTATGGAATGTGCAGCCCCCCAACTTTTGAGGCAGTCCCCAGATCTCGATCGCAAATGAGTTTCTCCGTACAGCCGTCAGAGACAACGCGCGGGGGACACGTCAGAAAGAGGAGTCTGATGAAATTAATGCAAAGTGAATTTCGGAATCCCGAGATTCTGATTTGTTGCGGTTCCGGGATTGACACACTTTCCAGGAATGAGTCCAACCACATCATGTGGGTCATTTGACATGCAGATTGAAAACTCAATCGAAACAAATAAAAGCCAATTTGACAATCTCAATAAGCCACAAGACAAGATTCCCCCCATAAGAACGACTTAGGATTTGTTGGGTTCAGTCAGAGACAATTAGCTATGCAAATGATATATGGGTTTCCTGGCAAGTTCAACCCTCACGTAACCCATCTAGAGCTTGGTTAATTTAAATAATATTTGCCATAATTACCCGCATGACTGGTGGGATTTCTTTTGGGCCTCCAAGGTACCCATGTGGTAATCCTTTAGGAAAACAAGAATTGAGCAAACATAAAGGCGATTCCTATCGAAGACTACGCCTCATTGAGCAATTGGAAAATTAGATGAACATCTTCAAGGGGATCTAGCGATCGCCGAGAGGTAGTTAAGAGGGCAATCATCGAACTAATTGACATTCGAGAGCCTCAATTATATTAAATGCGCAAATTATCCCGAGAATAATCGTTTTCAGGGGCAATTTCTCAGCATATTTTGGCCAGCAGACCGTCGACCTGAGACTCCACCCATTTCAGCCACAAAACGAAAAAGGTCCAAAGCATAACTCCGCCCAAAACACACACAAACACACACTCAGGAGAAGAAATACAAAAAAAAAACAGAAACAGACCCAAAACAAAATTTCAAACTTGAACCACTTTGGGGTCCCCCAATGGGCTAAGGCGAAAGAGCGAGAAGACACACACATTTTTTGGCTTCCTCTTTGACTTCTGGAGCATGAAATGCTGTTAGGAAATAAGCCACGCCTCTGCTGCGATTTATGCTGACGACGACGACGACGACGGCGACGACAACGTGAACCCGGAAAAGCCAAGCCCAGGCGGCAAAGAGAAGGAAGACAGAAAAACACAAAAAAAAACAACTATAAGTGCGCGAAAGAGATGGAACGGACAGAGAGCGAGCGAGGCAGACTACAAGTAGTTCTGGCCACAATAGACCTAGACATAGAAGTGTACCCGTCGCCGTAGACGATGACGCAGAGCCACCCCTAAGTGGCAGCCGTCCCAATCCCATCCCAGTGGAAGCACTTGAGACGCTCGCCGTAAGGTTTTCGATTCGATTGTGTGTAAGTGTGTGTGCTTCTGGTTACAACATTACGAGATTGTGGGTGGAGTTTTCCACACATAGATTTATACTTATATACACTTGAAACTGAAGGATGAAATGAATGAAAATACATAAATAAAACAAACAAACCAAGGCAAAATAAAATAAAATAAAGCCCAAGCATTCTTCGTATTCGAATTTAAAGTTTACAGATCACATTTTTAGTATTAAAAATCAATTTTTGTAAACTATAACATTTAAATTAATACCTGACTAGTGGTTTCAATATCAGAAAATAATTTAGCACTATGATAAATACCAAATAAATAAACTAATTAAATATTTTTCCACACAATCATATTAATTGCCAAAACAACTTTGTGTGTTTATTTTCTTTAGAATTCATGGCATAAATATATCAAGAAAAACCCTATATCACACTCACACGGTCTGCAATATGCCATATTTTTTATTTCCACATCAATCCATTAATTCATTAAAAATATTCAACTGAAATGGGACACTAAACTCAAACAAAAACAAGAACAGAACAGCTAATCATGGGATAAACCCCCAGGGAATTACTATAACTTTTCTACAATCTGTAACATGATGAATTGACCACAAATACTTGTATTTAGTTGACATTATTCAAGAAGTCATTGAACGAGTATCATAATTAAAAGTAAAATAATTATAATAATTATTAATCATTTACAGTATAATCCTCAACGAAATGTTCGTAAATATTACTTTATAAAGGAAATTTTCCAACGAAAAACGTACAGATCATATCCGACTTGTTCCGCTCTAATGGGAATAAAGATTGCATGGGATGAGCCCATTGTTGAAAAAATGCACCTTATATGGTATATGTATGTATAGCGTGAATTTATGAGAGACTGTCATAATATTTAGTCGGAAGTGTTGCGATCATTTGTAAGGCTGTGTGCTCCACATAAAGAAAGATGCTGGAAGGCTCGTCGGCAGTAAGACAGATACATGTCCCATGGATACACCTACTAGGCCCACTTTTTGCCCATATTTCAAGTGTCAGTCTCTGTCTCACTTTACAAGAAATCCTCCTCGTATGCCTTTCATCATCGTCATTGCCTGACGAATTAATACAATTAATATGCTAACTGTACTTTGCGCCGAATACAGTTACAACAAAGGCAGCGACGCTGCCAGCACGCATGGCAACAGGCGCGCAAGGTGGCCGCCGCGCTGCCACTGCTGCCGCTGCTTCTGCTTTTTTGCCTCTACCTCTGCCACGCCCACGCTCAAGCGCCCTAGCAACAACAACAAATTACGGCTTCTCTTTTTTTTGGTTCGAATTTTCGGGCAGGCACACAAAATACGAAAGAGACGATGTCAACAAAAATACCAAAACAAAAAAACTTCATACCGAGAGCAAGACAGAGAAAGAGAGAGAAATGCGAGCACGGGCAAAGCACATTAATGTGCGAGCAGAGCGAAATGAGAGCAGAACAGAACAAGCAGCACAACCACCGCAGCGGCGGAGAGTGAAACAGAGAGAGAGAGCGGCTGGGTATAAATAGCAACGGGCAGGCGCTCACCCCGCATTCAAAATCCAGCCAGCGAAGCGTGCGGACGTGAAGCGAAGACAGAAACACAAAAAGCTAAATAAAGACATAAAAGAGAAAGAGCGAGAGCGAGAGCAGCAGCCAAAGCCAAGAACAAAGTGAACGAACTCGAATCTGTGCGTGTGTGTCGGTGTGCGAGTAACAACAAGCAAAATCAACAAAGCATTTAGTTAATATTCAAAGAAGAGAAAGTCATTGAGTCATCCTTCGATTGCCCGTAATTGTGCAATTAAAAAGAGAAGGAAGAG